TAGTATATCCTTTTTTCATTATTTTTTTTTTTTGGAGACAGTGTCTCCCTCTGTCACCCAGGCTGGAATGCAGTGGTGCAATCATGGCTCACTGTAGCCTTGAACTGGGCTCAAGTGATCCTCCTGCCTTGGTCCCCCTAAGTGTTGGGATTACAGGCTTGAACCACCACACCCAGCTCCATTTTCTGTAATGAATACCTCAGCCCTCAACCTATTTCTCAGACCCCTTTTTTTTTTTTTTGAGACAGAGTCTTGCTTTGTCGCCCAGGCTGGAGTGCAATGATGCGATCTCAGCTCACTGCAACCTTCACCTCCTGGGTTCAAGTAATCCTCCTGCCTTAGCCTCCCAAGTGCTGGGATTACAAGCATGTGCCACCATGTCCGGCTAATTTTTGTATTTTTTTTGTAGAGACGGGGTTTCATCATGTTGGCCAGGCTGGTCTCGAACTCCTGACCTCAAGTGATCTACCCACCTCGGCCTCCCAAAGTGCAGGAATTACAGGTATAAGCCACCGCTCCTGGCCTCTGAGACTCTTAGGTGCCTCTGTATTGCACATATGTCACTGGAATAATGTTCTTTAATCCTGGGAAGCAACTGCTTTAAAATGAGGGAACACACAGGTACAAAGCACAGGAACTGCCTGGGACGAACTGTTAACTATTTCTTTAGCTCTTATGGGAGGCAATTGTTCAAAACCTCACACCTGCCTTGTGAGGTTGGAACTACTGTCCCCAGTTGATAAATGACGACATGAAGTTTGGCCAGGTCCTGTGACTTGCTTGGGGTCACCAGGTTCGAGGGAGGGAGCTGGGCTCTGCAGCCACGGTGTGCTCTAGAGTGGGACTGCTCACCAACCAGCGCCCGGCCTGCTCTCCTGCTGCAGGCTTGGGCTCACCCTGGATGGTTTGCCCTGCCCAGCCCCACGCTGCCCACTAGGGAAATTCATCAGAGGCCTCCTCTGCTTGGGCTGGAGGACTGTCCAGGTAGACTGGGATGCCCACAGGGAGCAGCGGACAGAGGCGAGAAATGCCTGTCATTTCCAGATGCCACCCACGGAGCAGAGGCAGAGGAAAGTCCTCAGAAGGCTGATTGCTCCAATCAGCTTTGATCTGGGGTTCAGCCCTCGGCAAGCTTAGGGAACTTGAGGAATGTCTATGAGAAAGGAAGACAGGAATGGCTTTATGAGATTTCCTTCCGTTCTAAAAGTAGCACCTGCTCGTGACAAATGCAGAATACAGAAATATAAGCAATAAACAAAAAATAATGAAACAAAACAAAAACCTAGAAATACAGGCAGGGCATGGTGGCTCACACCTGTAATTCCAGCACTTTGGGAGGCTGAGGTGGGATGATTGTTTGAAGCCAAGAGTTTGATACCAGCCTGGGCAACATAGTGAGACCTGGTCTCCACAAAAAATAAAAATTAGCCAGGTGCGCTGATGCGGGCTTGTGGTCCCAGCTACTTGGGAGGCTGGAGTGGGAGGATCGCCTGAGCCCAGGAGGTGGAGGTTACAGTGAGCCTTGGTCGTGCCACTGCACTCCAGCCTGGGCGGCACAGCGAGACCCCTGCCTCTCAAAAAACAATGAAAACAAACCAAAATTGGGTTTGATGGTTTCACTTCATTGTTAAAGGAAAAGCAGTAACACTCGTGTCAGAATTATACTCCTGTCGATGGCAACAAGGCAGTTTCTGTTCCACTCGCTGAATGAGGTCACGGGGCGTTCATTCATTGTAGTCTGACTTTGTGACTCTATTGTTGGTGATAGAATGATAAAGTTGATGGTGGATTTTGCAAGATACACCTGAGGTACAGGTGCTTGGAGCTCTTGATAATGTGTACTGCGTTACATGATCTGTAAATCGTGGGCTATGCATCCTTTACACTCGACTGGAACACCTATGCACACACCTATGCACGCATGTGTTTCGCGGAGAGTGGTGCTCAGCGCTGTGCCAGGTGCTGAATTAGGCTCTGAGGTGCAGCAGTGACCTGGGTGGTCATGTCTCCGCCTCGCCCGGCCACCTCCGTTGAGAAACCTGAGCAGCCGACGGCGGAGTTCTCTCAACGGAGCGCCGCCAGGGGGCGCGCGAGGCAGGGCGGAGCTGCGTACTTTGTCCGCCCGCGCAGCCCGTCGCTCGCGCCGCGGCGGGAATATGCGACCTGGCCGCGCACCACCGCCCCTTCTCGGCCTTCCTGCATTTGCTCAGGGTCGGCACGCAGTAATGGAGAAGGAAGCGGAGACCGAGGAGCAGCGATTCTCTTACCAACAGGTACAGGAAAACGGTGGTCGGGCTGGCCTGGGGTAGGACGGCATCGAGTTTCAGGACAGAAAAGGACCCCGAAGCCCAAGTTGGCCTCTCATCGGGGCACCCATGCCTCGGGCGTCCCCCGCGGCTGCTGCTGCGCCTGCGTCGGCTCAACTGCCGCGGGTGGTGCTGGGAAGCGGTTTCCGCGGCAACGCGGCTGGACCCTGGCCTGCGCGGGCTGGGGAGGAAGCGGTTCTAGAGGAGTGCGCGGGCTCCGGGGTCCAGCGGCGAGAGGCCACCTTCTGGCTTTGCAATGAAGCCTCGGTTTCCCCTTCTCAGATGGGGTTGTTGTGAGGGTGGAACGTCGGCATTAGAGACACTCCAGGTGACGCCCGTAGCGCGGTGCGCGGTTGGGGCCGGAGCTCTGGAACGCTGCTGGAGGGGTCGACCCCTCGTTACAGATGCAGGGACGCGGTGCGGACCTGTCAGGACCAGAGCTCGTCCTTAGATGTGGGTTCGATTCTCCGCCGCGCCAACTTGTGATCGTACCGACTCGGCCCAAATGCAGTTTTCTTCTCTGCAAAATCGTCGTAAGAATAGCCACCTGTTAGGGTAGCTGCAGGCATCCCATTCTTTCCTTTTATCAGCGCCGGGCATACTGGGCGGCAGAGGCTGAGAACCTTACTGTGCTGTGAAGAGGCGAAAAGCAAGACCCGCAGTGGCGACCTTAAAGACGAATTGAAGAAACGCGGGAATGAGCTCCAGACGCGGGAGTTTCCTCTCTACAAAGTTACATTGCAGCAGCTGTCTACCCTGTCCCTTGTATTTTGAGAAGTTCAAACCTTCGGAAAAGTTGCAAGAACATGGTACAGAACGCCTAGATGCCCGTCACCTCGATTCACCACTAGTTAGCATTTTGCTCTGTTTGCTCCCTTGCTTTTTTTCCTCCCTGATTGGAGAATTAATTGCAGATATTTTGACACTTCGCCTTTACATTTTAATTCTTTAGTACACATCTCCCAAAAACAAGGCGTTGGTTGGGCGCGGTGGCTCACTCCTGTAATCCCAGAACTTTGGGAGGCCGAGGTGGGCAGATCACTTGAGGTCAGGAGTTCGAGACCAGACTGGCCAACATGGAAACCGCTTCTCAACTAAAAGTACAAAAATTAGACGAGTGTAGTGGTGGGCGCCTGTAATCGCAGCTGCTTGGGATGTTGAGGCAGGGGAATCGCTTGAACCCGGGAGGCGGAGGTTGCGGTGAGCCGAGATCGCACCTTTGCACTCCAGCCTGGGTAACAGAGCGAGACTCCATCTCAAAAAAAAAGAACAAAAAAGAACAAGGCATTCTCCTACATCATCTCCATAAATTATCCCACTCAGGAAGTTTAATATTGATGAAACGCTGTTGAACGTGCAGTCCATGGTCACGTGCCCCCACTTGTCCTAAAGATGTTTCTTTTAACTGTCTTTTTTCCTTCAGGATTCCGTTAAGGATGGCGCGTTGCATTTAGTCATCTTGTCTCTTTGGTCCTGCCTGCCCTGTTTTTTTTTTTTTGGAAACAGAGTTTTTGCTCTTGTCCAGCCTGGAGTGTAGTGGCTCCATCTCAGCTCACTACAACCTCTGCTTCCCGGATTCAGGAGGTTCTCCTGCCTCGTGAGCAGCTGGGATTACAGGCGCCCACCACCACGCCCAGCTGATTTTGTGTGTTTAGTAGAGACGAGGTTTCACCATGTTGGCCAGGCTGGTTTTGAACTCCTGACCTCAAGTGATCTGTCCGCCTCGGCCTCCCAAAGTGCTGGGATTCCAGGTGTGAACCACTGTGCCGGGCCTGTTCTTAGTCCCCAGAACAGAGCCTGGCTCTCAACAGACGAACAAATGCTTACTGATGAAATGAAACTGCAAAGACGGGCCAAGAAATTTGCCCTGCAGCTGTGATTAACCTGTAGAAGATTTCCCCCTATTCATGTAACCAACTGTTCTTGGCACTTGGTAGGCAGCAGTGAACAAAATTGACAGGGTCCTGCCCTTGAGGAGTTTAGTGATTTAGACTCTAAATGCAATGATGCCCCCAGCCCAGCCAGGGGGAACGGTGGAGGAGGAAGGTCTGAGAAAAATTCCTGGAGCCAAGAGCATTCAGAAGAATTCATGTCCTGTACCCTGACGCCCACCCATAAGTAAAAAAGATGATGTTGAGCTGGGCAGGGTGGTGTGGGCCTGTAGTCCCAGCTACTCAGGAGACTGAGGCAGAAGGTTCACTTGAGCCTGGGAGTTGGAGGCTGTAGTGTGCAGTGACCACACCTGTGATCTTCATGCCTCCCAGGTCGATGGCACTTTGGCTTCTCCTACCAGAGGCCTCAGCTTACCTAGCCTTGTGAGGTCTGAAATTCAGGAAGGTAGATGCCCTTCTCATCTGCCTGACCTCTATCCTGAGGTCCTGGACTTGCGTTTTTGGCAGTTCCTCCCCCTCTTGCCTATGTGTTGAACACTTGCTGGTAGATTTTGTGCCCTCGTGGGTTCAGCTGTCATCATGTGCAGCTCAGCTCTGTCTTTGGCCCTGAGGCAGAGTACCCACACCTGGGCTCTACGGAACTCTGTCGACACATGGCGAGACCGTTGCTTAGGTTGTCTTGCGCTTGAGGCTCATCCTCCCCTCGGTAATTTTCTGCGAGTGGCAGAGAGATCTTTTTCAGAACCGACAAGGGTTGCCAGGGAGCAGTGAGGCCCCGTGGAGGTAGCCTCCCAATCCTCTGAATCGAGAGGGCTGGGTGTGCCCTCTTGAGTCCCGTGTTGTACTTTTGTCCTCTGTGATATGCAGGCCTGGGGCTGCCAGGGGCTTGCAGCAGAGGGATGGGATCCTTCTGTATTTACTTGATTAACCACAGTAAGGGCAAAGTTTCCTGCCTGGTTTTTCATTGTCTCCCAAACACCTAGCATATGCCTTTACTCAGGCGTATGTCCAAACTCCGCAGATAGTTTGGAATAAAACCACGCAGGGCCTTGGCAGGCACGAGTCTGATCTGTCTCCCCACTGACTTGCCATCCAATTCCTTATCTTTACCTGACATAAATCGTAACCATTAACAAGGAGGTAATGTTTCTACAAGTCACACTCCAGTGGGCCTCATTCACTGATTAGTGCACTTGAAAAGCCACTCAGCCATTATGGAAAGCTCCGAAGGAATTGGGCTGAGCAGACCTTCTCCTTGGTCTTAATTTTTTAAGCCGTGAAAAGCTCTTATTTGCAACCTTACCTATGAAATATTTCGATTTTTTTCCCCAGAGGCTAAAGGCAGCAGTTCATTATACTGTGGGTTGTCTTTGCGAGGAAGTTGCATTGGACAAGGAGATGCAGTTCAGCAAACAAACCATTGCGGCCATTTCGGAGCTGACTTTCCGACAGTGCGGTATGAAGCTTCGGCCTCCCTAGCCATGTCTGTAAACCCCAAAGGTTGATTTCACCTGGGAGCAGTACGTGGGTGGGAGCTGTGGGGAGTCTGACCAGCAGACCGAGATATCATCATCATGTGTTCTTCATGAAACACTGCTCTTTTTGGCTGCGAGTTGTGGATATTTTATGGGAAGAACTATTTTTTTTCCTATAACACTGACACTGGGGCATTAACGCCTTTATTTTATTGTTTTAAACTGTCCTGACGGCTGGAACATTAGACATCACATTTTTTGTTTCAGTGCTTTATAACATTTTTATATTACCCATAGTTTCTTTGACAGCTGAGCTTTAGCGTTGGTATTTGCTTGACTTCAGAGGGAAGACGAAAGACCTCACAAGCCTTGACTGTAGCAGAAGTTAAAGGATAGTTTCTAGAAACCAAAGGCATAGTCACAATTAATGGAAGACTTGTCATGAAGGGTGGAGGGCTCTGGGAAGGACAAGGAGGTCATCATGAATAAAAAAAGCCAAAGGCTCTTAGGGAATGGCGGGGCTCCTGGAAGCGCCTCCTTTCACCTTTAAGAGGGTTTGTTGTATTAGTCACTGTACTGGCTGTAGAAATCAAGGCTTCACTTTTCCTGCTTCTGAAATTAGATGGGAGGGTGCCTAAAACGTGTATCTTTCTCTTTCAGAAAATTTTGCCAAAGACCTTGAGATGTTTGCAAGGTGGGTAGAGAACTTGGTTATCCGACGCTGCGTCTGTGCGGCTCTTTGGGGCCTCTCCATCTGGTGGGTTATTTCAGGAGAGCTTTAGCTATTCAGTTTGCCGTGTGCTTTGTGGAGGCTTGTCTCTAATCATGGTTCTGCAAGAACATGACGCCTGCCTCAATCACGGTGATTCAGACTTATTTGAACATTTTTTGAAGTTTTCCAAGTATTTTTTATTAAAGAACCCAAGTTATTCAGTTCCAAGTTAAAAAGGTGTGAATGCCGTCTCCAGGACCCTGAATGGCGGTGCCTGTGTTAAAAGCCATGTCTTCGGGTGGTTTGATTGCTCAGGGTTTGAGAACATGGTGCCCGGGGGCGGCTGCCCCTCTGCGGAGGGAGCTGCCGCATGTCCGCGGTGGTAATTGCTTGCAGGTGTACACAGAATGGCAGGCAGGGCTTTTTCATTTGCCGCATTTGTTCTGAGTAAGACGCACTCCTTGGAAAGAGGGTGACTTGCTTTCAGCTGCTAAAGCCTCAGCTTTTACAGATGATTTATGTTCAGCTCTTCAATTAGTACCGCAGGTAATTGAAAACAATTGCACCAAATTGCTTTTATGAAACAGTTTGAATGACGAAGGCCTGAAAGGGCGAAAGCTTTCTAATTTGCCGCCACTTGGATTCGGTGCCAGCCTCTCCCACACCCTTTACTTTTCACCTTGCTCCTGTTAGCTCTTTGTTTCTCGGATGCCTGTTTTGAATGAATTAAAGCAGTGGGTTCTCGGAGGGCAAGCTCTCAATCTGTCCTATTCCTGTGGCTATTCGTCCCTGAAAACCGCTTAGCATCTTCAGTTTGACCAAAAGGGATAAGATAGTATGAAGGGATACCGGTAGCTCATGTGGCTTAGTCATTGCTGATTCAGGCGGGAGTCCCTTATGTGTGGCCCTCCTCCCCGGTGAAAGATATTTATCACCTTTACTTGTTATTTCTTTGTTAGCTGTGGGGAAAAAAAAAAACAATGAACGTTTAAAATACTTAAAAATAATAAATATATATATTAGAGATTCAGGGTCTTGGTATGTTGCCCAGGCTGGTCTTGAACTCCTGGACTCAAGCAATCCTGCCTTGGGCTCCCAAAGTGCTGGGATTATAGGTGTGAGCCACCATGCTCAGCCTGAAAATACTTCTGTAAAAATTCTATTAAAAAAATGAATAGAAAGAGTATGGTAACACATTAGGCTTTCAGATATTCTGTGTTTTTTAAAAAGTACATAAAAGGTAGATTTTATTTTATTTTATTTTTTTTGAGACAGAGTCTCGCTCTGTCGCCCAGGCTGGAGTGCAGTGGCCGGATCTCAGCTCACTGCAAGCTCCGCCTCCCGGGTTCACGCCATTCTCCTGCCTCAGCCTCCCGAGTAGCTGGGACTACAGTCGCCCGCCACCTCCCACGGCTAGTTTTTTGTATTTTTTAGTAGAGACGGGGTTTCACCGTGTTAGCCAGGATGGTCTTGATCTCCTGACCTCGTGATCCGCCCGTCTCGGCCTCCCAAAGTGCTGGGATTACAGGCTTGAGCCACCGCGCCCGGCCTTATTTTATTTTTTTGAGACAGAGTCTCACTCTGTCGCCCAGGCTGGAGTGCAGTGGTGCAATCTTGGCTCATTGCAACCTCTGCCTCCTGGGTTCAAGTGATTCTCCTGCCTCAGCCGCCCAAGTAGCTGGGATTACGGGCATGTGCCACCACATCTGGCTAATTTTTGTATTTTTAGTAGAGATGGGGTTTTACCATGTTGGTCAGGCTGGTCTTGAACTCCGGATCTCAAGTGATCTGCCCACCTCAGTCTCCCAAAGTGCTGGAATTACAGGCGTGAGCCACTGTGCCAGGTAAACGGTTGATTTTCTTTTGCTGGGTACTGGCGGGGAAAGGAGTATGTGCGTGTGTGTGTGTGTGTGTGTGTGTGTGTGTAGACCATAAGCTCCATAAGGAAGGACAACATCTTTTACATAAAAGTGTTCGTGGAGGCCAAGTGCGGTGGCTCACGCCTGTAATCCTAGCACTTTGGGAGGCTGAGGCGGGTGGATCACCTGAGCTCAGGAGTTCGAGACTAGCCTGGGCAACAGGGTGAAACCCCATCTTCTAAAATAAAATTTTAAAAAATTAGCCAGGCGTGGCAGTGTGCGCCTGTAGTCTCAGCTACTCAGGAGGTTGAGGCAGGAGAATTGCTTGAACCAGGGAGGTGGAGGTTGCAGTGAGCCGAGATTGTGCCACTGCACTCCTGCACTCCAGCCTGGGTGACAGCGAGTCTCCGTCTCTTTAAAAAAATAGTTTGTGGAAAGGCTGCTTCTGAGAACTGAGTGAGTCCAGAGTCCAGTGATGAGGCTCCAGGAATCTGGGGTGCAGCCAGAGGCAGGGAAGCACCCCCTCTTCTTGGCACAACCCACAACTACAGGTTTTCTTTGAAGACTCATCCTTTGTGTGAATTCCAGTTTGCTTTCATACAAAAAAGCATTGTTTTAAAGTTGATCACTGAATAAAATTGATTCTCCTGGAAGGCCAACTTTGGTTATCTTGTGGATTTGAGTTGTCCCTGTCACACTTTCTCTACTCCCAAGACTATTGTTACCCCAGTTTGAGAAAGATGGACTGTTTCAAGTCAACAATATGTTACATAGCCTCTCTAGGCTAGCCTGGGAACCTAATGAGTATTTGTAACATTGTTTCATTAAGACAAATTTGTTTTTTCTTTTCTTTCTTTCTTTTTTTTTTTTCCTTGAGACAAGATCTCTCTGTTATCCAGGCCAGAGGGCAGTGGCAGGATCGTAGCTCACTGCAACCTAGAGCTCCTGGGTTCTAGTGATGCTGCCACCTTGGGCTTCCAGAGTGTTGGTATTACAGGCATGAGCTGAGCCACTGTGCCTGGCATCTTTTTTCTTTTTGGTGAACTTGTTATGAGAAGTTTCTGTGAGAATACACATGTAAATTCTTTTTTCTTTTTCTTTTTTTCTTTTTCTTCTTTTTTGGAGCATTGGAGCAAGAGGGAGACTTGAGAACAAGGGCTGGATTTTTTTTTTTTTTTTTTTTTTGAGATGGAGTCTCGCTGTGTCGCCCAGGCTGGATTGCCATGGCGCGATCTCAGCTCACTGCAACCTCTGCCTCCTGGGTTCAAGGCATTCTCCTGCCTCAGCCTCCCAAGTAGCTGGGATTACAGGTGCGCGGCACTATGCCCGGCTAATTTTTGTGTTTTTAGTAAAGACAGGGTTTCACCATGTTGGCCAGGTTGGTCTCAAACTCCTGACCTCAGGTGATCCACCCACCTCGGCCTCCCAAAGTGCTGGGATTACTGGCATGAGCCACTGTGCCTGGCCAATTTTTTTTTTTTTTTAGACAGAGTCTCTCTCTGTCGCCCATGCTGGAGAGCAGCAGCTCAATCTCGGCTCTCTGCAGCTTCTGCCTCGCGTGTTCAAGCGATTCTCCTGCCTCAGCCTCCCG